ATATATATATGTATATAAGATCAGTGCAGATCATTCTTCTCACTTGTTCATCCTCATCCTTTCATTTATTTCCCCCACCTCATAATCAACGCTCCACCTTTTATTTACCACAAATATGATTAAATCTTTTTTTTTTTGGGGTACAAAATATGATTAAATCTTAAAATTAGTGAAAATTGCCAATGCCCTTGTCGCTATTAATTCATTATCCACCTATTTTAACTACTATTTCCTTTTCTTATAAATGATCTGAACTATTTCCAGGAATTTTAGGTCGAGAAAACCAAAGCCTGAAAGTGAAGGCTGGTTGGGAACTCGAAAGGAATAAAAAAAATTGGCCGTACCAATTTTGGCATCACAAAAAGATTTGTTGAATAATTAACTTTGAAAAAACTGATTTTGAGTGAAATTTTGAATTTTTATTAGAGTACTATTTAAAATAAATTAGCGATGATCCATTGATATTATTTAATTATATTATATTGATAATATTGAATATAGTTTGATTGAGTTAAATTTAAATTAAGAAAATTAAAAATAACTAAATAATTTATAACCAATCAGGTCCTAAGTTTTTTATCGTTGGATCTCACAAGTGCACATATCAGTGGTTGCACACATCTTTATGTTAGTAAAGTAAGTTAACCACTCATGATGCCATACTCCTAACTAGTGACATTAAATGGAACAATATTATGCATGGAAAATAAGATCTTAGGAAAAAAAAAAAGTAGTAGCAATAAAGTCATCTCAGCGGTTGTAAATTAAGCTTCCATCACTTGTGGTGGATAAAAATATGAAAGTCCATGAGTTAAAGTAAATGAGACATTTATGTATTGGATGGATAGTAGTAAATGATGAGTAATGCTCACCTATCCACAGTGGGCACATGTTAATATGTCCACCGCTTATGTGACATGCACACATTGGTGATATTAATATGTTCAAAATAATATATCACCAATGTGTGCATGCCACATAAGCGGTAAGCATATTAACATGTGCCAACCGTGGGTAGGAGAGCATTACCTAGTAAATGATATATGTTGTGAAAGTCAAAGAGATGAGGGTGGCCTGGGCTG